GGCCGGCTCTTCCTAATCTCACTTGATAGAGGAAAGGGCCCAAGTGAGCAGTAAAGCCGCTGCCTGCTGGCGCCCCCCTTAAGAAGCGCTTTAGGCAGCCACCTACTTGCCCTATAGGAAGCGCCTGCCCTGGGCTTCTGGCATCAGCATGCAATGGTGGCCTGCACTTCCTTTGCTGTCCATGTCCCCCACTCAGCCCACCATCAATGATGTTTATCTAAGTAGGAGGGTCGGGCTGTTAATGGTATACAGAGAACTTTGCCTTGGTTCCTGATTGAAGTGAGGTTTAGCTCCTTAATTTATTTATTTTTTTGTTGATTTTTTATGGGGAGACCAGGACAGGAGGGATTACCATCACCAAAAACAGTGTTTTCTTACAACACTGATTTTTGGTTAGGTGTTTGGATGGAGTAATTGTAACGGCACCCCGGGCATAAAAGGGGTTTATGCCGTTTAGTAGATATTCCCCTTCCAGATATACAGGCAGCTACCAAAGACACCAATCCCCCGAACAGAAAACCATATGAATGCCGTAAACAGCCGAATAGGAAAAACCATACGAATAGGTTTACACTTCTAGCAGTCTCACTGGAACAGCATACAATAAATCCCCCCAAGAACGAGACAAAGCTCCGTTTTGAGGGTCAGGCAGGAACAGACAGCTGTATTTTTATTGTTCTTATATACACATTCTTACACATTAGTACAATCCACAGGGTTTTGTGGAACATCCAATCAAACAATTAATTAATATACAATGAACACTCCCTTTCATTCCAGTAAAATCCTCCCCTCTGCCTGTGATATAATTACTGAACACAATGGGCTAACGTAATTATCACAGGCAGGAAAATACACAGTTTTACACAATATTCATAACTTAAAAGTATACATCACATTCACATAAAACTTACATTTTCAGAATCAGCATTATCCAAATACAAACATACTCAAAAATCTAATTGTGGCGAGGTTAGTTTCGCCACACCTCTTCCCTTTCCCAACAAGACTAACAAGGTACCTGACCTCCTGTCGGTCAGTGCCTTGGCTAGTCAAGCAACCCACCCACAAAACATAATGAGCAGTGCAGCCCACCCACAATAAATGGTTACTGCACCTGGGGTAATGTGTAGCTTGCCTTTGTACAGGGGCCCCACCACGGCTGTGTGAGGTACTGGCACTCCAGATCGGTGGGCAGAGACCAGCGGTACACTGTCCTGGTGCCAGGGCGTCAGCTGGAGTAGCCTGGTTGGAGCCCAGCTGGGAAGAGGGGGTAGTAGGCTCCTCTCCCTGGACCTGGTGCTGCTGCTGGAGGGGGAGACAGACGGTCTTCCCCTCCAGCCCTGCTGTTGGGGAGAGAGACCCACTGTCTCTGCTCCCTGTAGGGCACCCTGCAGCTGGGGGATAGGACCGACTGTCCCTACCCCCTGTAGTTTGGGCATAAAGACCACGGTCCCATCTGCACTGGTGTGGAGCTTTTTGTCTCCACTTTGTGGGCTAAGCTGCCGCTGGGGAGAGGGGGTAACAGGCTCCTCTCCCTTACACACTTCCGGCCGCTGGGGAGGGAGAACGACTGTCTCTACTCCCAATACATTGTCCTGCTGCTGGGGAAGGAAGACAGGGCTCTCCCTGCAAGGGGTACTGCCGCTGGGGAGGGAGAACGAGGCTCTCCTCTCCCAGTAAAACACACTGCTGTTGGGGAGCAGGACCGGCTATCCTTGCCCCCTGTAGCTCATTCTGCCGCTGGGGGAGGGGGACACAGGGTTCCCCTCTCCCTGCAAGGGATACTGCCGCTGGGGAGGGGAGACGATGCTCTCCACTCCTTGCATTTCACACTGCCGCTGAGGAAAGGAGACGCTGCTCTCTATTCCCTGCAAATCAATCTGCCGCTGGGGATCTAGGCCGACCGCCCAGCATCCCTGTAGAGCCGGTGGAGAGACCTCGGTCCCATCTCCACCTGCTGCCTGGGGTTCCTCTCCACAATATCTTCCCAGCTGAAGGGTTCTGGATCTGGATCTGTTACTCTGCTTTTCTGCCGTGCCTTCTCAATGGAGTGGAACAGATGTTGGTAGTCCAGCTCCATCTCTCAGGTTACTAGGTGGGCCAGGTCTTGCTCCACCTCCTGAGGGTCATCCCAGTCGTACATACTCTCCCTCCACTCAAAGATATCACGGAACCGGGTTTGTGTAGAGCTCCCAATATCATGCTCCGAAAAATACTCCCATAAACCAGGGCCATCAAACTCCTCTCCCTCTGGCTTGTCATGCTCTGCTGTCCAGGGTATATACTGCGCTGCATACCACCAGAGTGTCTGGTAGGCATCTTCCAGCCACAGCTCCTGCCATACCCGGTGCTCCAGTTCTTTTATCCATTCTTCCAGGGGCTGCTCTCCCAGGAGGGGCATCCGTAGTGCCATTCATGTCTGCTGTCACTGCTCCTCACTGGGGAGTCCCTCGCCCCGCTAGTGCTGTATGCTATTCAGTGCCTGGTACCAGATGCCTTTGCGTACTGCATCCTGATCGTCTATGACACCCTCATCGTATAACACTGCTGGTTCCATCCTGATGCTGTCAGGGTTGCTGTACTCAGACATGCGTTGCCCTTAATTTGTAAATCCCAGGAACTGGTGTTGTCTTCTAGCTGTCCTTCTGGGCTGTGGGAATGATCCCACTGCTACCACCAATTGTAACGGCACCCTGGGCATAAAAGAGGTTAAAGCCGTTTAGTAGATATTCCCCTTCCAGATATACAGGCAGCTACCAAAGACACTAATCCGCGGAACAGGAAACCATATGAATGCCGTAAACAGCCGAATAGGAAAAAACATATGAATAGGTTTACACTCCTTGCAGTCGAACTGGAACAGCATACAATAAATCTCCCCAAGAACGAGACAGCATTTTCAGAATCAGCATACTCCAAATACAAACATACTCAAAAATCTGACAATTCCCTCCAGTCGAAAGTCCTTTGTGACCACTGAAGCATGGCATTTCCAGCCCAAACCAGTTTCACAGCAGTGGCGGATCCAGAGCCTGCTCTCGGGAGGGGCACTTCCAGATTGTTTTGTGGCGGCGGACAGAAAATAATGAGGTGCTTATAGAACACACTATTTTATTTAACCTATCATACAGCTCTAACCCTATTTAAAAACCAGTCACATTTGTCTTTCCAAATTATGGATTTAAAAAAAAAAAAATTAGAAACAGATGACATTTAACCACATATAACTTTATTAGTTAACAGTTTGTAGACTTTTTCATCAGGAGTTTGTATACTGATTATAGAACAGAATATTCCCAGACAAAATCGTAACAAACAATACACAATTATGTATAAAAAGGTAGAAATATACTGATAACAGTGTCACTTTCCAAACACTAAAAGCAACAGACACATAACATTTTTACAATAAATAACAAATTTACAGAATTAGCTCAAGTCTTCGTTTTCCTTGCTTTGCAAACAGCTCAATGATTCGGTCAGTATTCACAGGAACATCTCTGTGAATGTAAAGCAAACTCAAACCATTTAATCTGTCCTCTGACATTCGTGACCGAAGCCATGTTTTAACACGACGGAGGGTTGAGAATGATCTCTCTGCAGAGGCCACACTTACAGGTAGAGTTGCCAAGACCAGAAGTAAACTTCTGATGGTTGGAAAGAGGTCCTGGTCACACACATCTAAAACTTCAAGGACTGTTTGTGGAATTTCTTTGTTTTGGGATAACTCGCTTTTCCACTTTGTGAGCCAGAGACAAAATTCTCCCTGAAGTAATGTCTCCACTATCCTCTGGCTACCATCAGCTAGAAGAGGGTAGAAACGGTTTGATAATGAGTGGATAGCAACAGGATCCATGGTTTCCATTTTGTTTTTTACAAGTACAATATTTGAATCTGGAAACACTGCATCGAGTTTTCTGGCAAACGAGCTTTTAAATCATTAATAATGTTATCCAGCAAAGGAATATACAAAGATTTCCTGTAGAATTCTTCAGTTGATCCTGCATTGTAATTTGATCTGTGTACTTGTCGTCCTACAAGACGTGGCAATTTAAGTTCCACTCCGAGTTCTGAGGCCAATTCTGTAGCCTCCATATGCAAAGTGGAAAAAGTACGATCAGCGTTACATCGCATATTCTCCAGGGTTCTCATGGTGACATTCAGACATTCAGATGCACTTGTCAAATCAAGTGTGGGAGATTGAAGAAAACGACTCAGAGGTAGGGTTACTTTCAGAACATTGATAAGTGAAATCAAGGAAAAGATAAATTCTGCACTGCACAGAGAATGGATGAGAGAAGAGGCTGATGAACTAGAGCTTAAGCATTTCCACTGAGATATTGCTGATAGTGCACTCACCACTTTAACTAGACCATCCCGAAATCTAATTAGAGAATCGTGGCGCTCTACCCATCTAGTTTCACAAAGACTGGTCAGTTGAGAGCCTAACTCCTGCTTTAAAACAAAATGACGCTTTGCTGATTGATTAAAAAATGAAATGGTTGATTTTACCACTGCTACTGCATTGCGAACTGTTGAAACTTGTGATGACTTTGAAATTGAATTGTTCAGAGAATGGTTGTAGCAAGGACATCTGCAACTGTTGGGTGCTGCTCTAATAATTTCTGAAACAGCACCAGCCACCTCTGAAGACATAACACTGCAACTGTCTGTTCCAATGCCAACACAATGAGTGATGTCCAGGGAGAGGTCTTTGATTAGTTGAATTACCATCTGGCCTAAAACCTGTCCTGTAAGCCTTAGTTCTGAATCTGAACTATCCAATCCTGACTCACTCTGAGTTGCAAATTCATAGGCATCTACGAATTTTATAAAATCTTCACGAATAGATCCATTGTAGACATATCTAAAGTTAAGTGAAAGTTGTTCTATATGTGAAATATCTGTAGTTTCATCAAATATTACACTAAAATAACAAGCCTCTTTAATTCTACCAACAATGATATTGCAGATTTCATCACCACAACACTTGATTAAATCATTTTGTGTGGATTTTGAAATGTACGTGGCACGTGAAGATGCAGTAAGGAGGTGCTTCTCTAACATTTTGTCTCCAGATGAAACGCGATATCTCAGCAATTCCCGAAAGTTCCCTTCATTCACGTCCGGTGTGGAGTCATCCATTAATGCACCATCATCTCGGTGGCCACGCAGAGGTATATTTTGTCTACCCAAGAATATAATGGACTCAATGATAGGACGAATTCGCTCTTGGTTCTCCTTCACCTTCTGAAGACGGTGAGAATTTATTTGATTGACAATTTCATTGTCAGGGGAATGGTAGGTTTTTAAAAATGCTTTTCCTTCGGTTACACTCTCCTGGTGATAAACAAGTCTTGCATGGACTTCCAAATCTCCTTCCTTACCCTTAAGCTTTTTAAAATTCGTAAGGGGCTCAGTTACCAATTTTCCAAGTGCCATGCCTTTGTTATGACCACCTTTGCGATGTTGTGCAAACAACGCACAGTACTTGCAAAACAAACCCTTCTTAACAGCTGAATATACTAGCCATGGAAAACTGTCAATATGTTGTTTTGACAAGTATCGTCTGATTGTCCGAGCTTCTCCATTTTTGGAAGTCATGTTCTGTACAGAGAAAGGTAGCTCATATCCGGGAGGAGGGTGCCATGGATTTTCCAGTAACAAGCATTTGGTGAAATCATCAATTGTTTTCCCAAGATGTGTGCCAATGTCATTCATTAGGATACTGCCAGTTTGAGGTGGGGTATCAACAGACAGTGGCAACACAGAATCAGTTTGAGAAGGTATTGGCTCTACGTGTGTACCAGAACACGAAGGGAAGCTAGTATCAGTTTCTATAGTTGAAGTGCTTTCTAGTACAGGCTGTGCTCCTGTTGACTTTTTTGCACTAGTACTGAAGAAGGAATCAATAGTCCTGCTATTCACCCTTTTCTGGCTCATTTTGCGCTTTCTACAGATAAAGCACAAAAGAACACATCTTGTAAAATAATTGGTTTGCTGGGACATCATGCCCACATCCATTATGTTATATCATGATACTTAGATGCAACAACATCTTGTTTAAAGCACAATAAAGCTAGCCTTCTAATGTAATTAAAGGATCACTATAGTGTCAGGAAACAAAGCGGTTTTCCTGACACTATAGTGCCCTGAGGGTGCCCCCACCGTGGCGCTGAAGGGGTTAAAACCCCTTCAGTTACTTACCTTAATCCAGCGCCGGGCTCCATTGGCGCTGGTGACCTCTCCTCCCCGTCCAACATCATTCAAAGTGTCCATAGGAAAGCGTTTCTCAATGCCACAAGAGGCTGGACTAACCCCAAATGTAAACATAGCAGTTTCTCTGCAACTGCTATGTTTGCATCTGAAGTGTTAAAACCTGAGGGACCTGGCACCCAGACCACTTCATTGAGCTGAAGTGGTCTGGGTGACTATAGAGTCCCTTTAATTTTGCCAATAAAGCTTGCAATCTACTAATTATGCAAACACTTTAAGTGACATATAGATTCAAATCAAATAATAAAAGCTTGGTCATAATCTTAAATAAAATGTTCCAGACAAATGCCCAAATAAACAGTATTGCATAATTGCTGTTACTTGGCAGTCTGGACACTACTGTATAAAGTGATAACAGAGAATATAGAATATAAGCAAAAAACGGACAGCGTTATATAGCACCATATATAAATAAATCAGAATCACACAATCTATACCAAAATCTATAAAATATATAAGTTATTAGTAAGTCGAATGAGGACTTCAGAAATGTCACCACTGCATATTAAATATTGCTACACAAATTCAGTGACATAAACACAGAGTGTAAACTAAACTAATATATATAAGTCACATAGAAAATGCTTACAAATTATCGAATCAAATTTAAATTATAAATATAAGACACAATAAATGTAAAAATTAATGATAAGAATTACCTCCAAACAAAAACTATCAAAATAGTGTACCCGGCAGGGAAAACAGAGGCTAAGGCGCTTCAAAACCAATGCCTCAGACAAATCACGCTAGCACGGCTTACGGTGTCTGCTAGCACGGCTTACGGTGTCTGCAATGGAAAAATTAACAGGCGATGTACTAAACTGCAGTCTCCCTTGTGTTTACATTACTGCCTAGTAACGCCTCTAGTGACAGTCATTAAGACGGCCTCTGGAGGTGCTTCCTGGGCCAGTACTGCATAGTGTGCACCACCTACATTCAGCATGACTCTTAATTCTACCCATAGTGATGCATTTATGCAATGCATCTTGGTGCAACATTGTTTATAGGTGCGTAATAACCTTCCATTGCTTTCCTAAGGACTAGCATTGGATTGGCTGAGATCAAGAGTAATGATCCCAGCCATGGAGGTGGGAACCCACAGAGAAAAAGAGGAGAGTAAAAATACATTTCCCATTTGATTGAAAGTGGGGCAGTCACCTAAACAGAAACACTCACTGACAGGCACAGAAAGTCGCAGCTTTGACACACACTTACTGACAGGCACACGCGCATACTCACTGACAGACACTGACACACTCACAGAGAAACACACTCTCTGACATAGATACATACACTCTGACAAACACACACACTCTCGCTCTGCCTTCTGTCTTTTATTGTGAGAGTCCTAACTCTTTAGTTGAAACATCTTTATTGAGTTACACATTACAGGGTCTCTGTATATTGTCAGATATTAAATCAATGCTGAAATTCACACGCCAGAATGATGACATTAAAAAAAAAAAAAAAAAAAAACACAGAATCTCCCCGGCCGCCTCAAAACCTAATAATCATTTATTTCCTCGCTGCAAACTCTCTCATGTTTAGGAAAACAACCAGTGAAATCCCAGCTGGCCAAATTAGCCACAACGCAAAACTGCGTGCGCAGCTACAGATCACAGTTTGGTTATTAAGGAGTATATATAGTTGCTGGGACACAGGACAGAAATGAATTTTATCGAATCCAGCTACTCGATCTACAAAGGAAATCTATTCCTTGTTATCTAACAATCATTAAAGCAATGTATATTCCAGTTTGTGAGGGCAATGTACGACTTCCAGTTGCCTTTGATAAACGCATAGTAGCTCCGCTTGCAAGATTTGCTAAGACTGGAAATTGGAGTAAAAACACAGTATACATTGGTAACAAAATATTTTTCAAATAATAATATCAAATAATTGGGTAAGTATAAAAGAGTTTACTTTATTATTACTTCTGATGAAGCCTTGAAATGGTCCTGATAGTTTATTGAACTTTTTATATGTTTTAAAAATTGTAAAAAAATAATACATACCTGCTGCTATGAAAATCTGCAAACAGTCACACAGTCCTGTCTCCGGTCTCACTCTCCACTCCACCGCGGCTCCTCCGACTCCGCATGCATCTCCCCTCCCCTCACTAAAATATACCGCGCTTCCTGGCGCGCTGAGTCTGAGCGCCCGCGCCGGCGTGTGACGTCACACCGGCGCTCAGCAGTGCGGCGATAGCCGACAGCCCGGACCTTACCCAGGCGGCGCCGGCAGAACTTCCCTATAGGGCGATCGGACGGCGGAAGCCCTCTCTCACTATATTCTCGGGGGGGGCAATTGCCCCGTTGCCCCCCCCCTGGATCCGCCAATGTTTCACAGAGTCCTCTATCCTGGAGATAATTGGCTTAACTGGGTGTGGTAAGCCAACTATCTCCAGGTACAGAAAATATCTCTATTCACAACAACAAAAATACATAATTCCTATCATACTGACCAGAACCCCCACAGTCAACCTATCCCCAGATGGCTTGGATTTGAGCGCTCAATATACTCAAACAGCGCTCAGATTCCACAAACACAGTCAAATCGCCATGGGGTTTAAGTTTAGCATGGGCTGATGAGACAGGCCATAGTCATGAGGTAGGAGGCTGGCAATCAGGCTTCTCCATAACCCAGTGGCGAGGTTAGTTTCGCCACAGTAACCTCTTGAAAACACAGTGAAATCGGATTCATGTCAAATGTGCAATTATGCGATTTACAAAAAGGTAACTGGTAGAAATATATTGATTTACACCAAATAAACACATCTACATTTGTATAATGTTTTCTAGGTTAAAATAATCACTTTCTATATGTGAATTGTGTACAAAATAAGGAAAATCTCTGTCCAGGTACCCCAAGATGTAGATAATGATCTTGAGGAATGAACCTTGTTCTTGTCAGGAGGAGTAAGTTGATTGTGAAGACAGTGGTGTATTTTAGTTTTGTGCTGCCCTAGGCATGACTAAACCTGGGCACCCTCCCTAATCTAAATTTGCCCCACCCCATCCTGTCAAGGTCACACCTCTTCCTGATTAAGACCAAACCCTTCCTCTTTAGGCTACACATTTTCCTCTGAAAACTCTACCTCTTTGTATGTCATCCTTTTAAGCACACACTCTCACTGACCCTTACACACTCTTATTGGCACACATACACACTGAACCAACATACACTTTCACTGACAGACAACATGCCCTCACTGATACACATGACATACAATCACTGACACAGTGGCGGATCTGGGGGGAGGGGAGTAATGGGGCTTAATTGCCCCCCCCAAGAATATAGTGCAGTTCCTATAGGCAGAAGTACCTACCACCGGACACCAGGCCCCTTTAAATTATGCGAGTGTTAGTGTGTATCTGTGTGTGTATGTGTGTGTCAGTGTATGTATGTGTAGGTATGTGTGTGTGCCAGTGTGTAAACTGTGTGTGTGCGCGCCAGTGTGTATGTGTAGGCAGGCCCGGACTGGCCATCAGGCATACCCTGCAAATGCCCGGTGCGCCGCGATGGCCATGGGCCGAGGAAATCACAGGATCTCCCTGGCAGGCCCATGCAAGGTGGGGAAATCAAAGATCTCCCACACCGTCCCACAGGCACTGTAACACAGCCGCTGGCTGGGGAGTGAGGGAGGCAGGAGAGGACTTGGGAGCTCTAGCCAACAGCTCTGCCGGGTTCCTCTCGCGGGTTTCTGAGCGTTGCCACGGTTACCACGGTAACGCTCAGATCTCACGAGAGCGAACTCTAGCCCTGCAGGGAAGGCAGCACGGCACCGTTCATGGCAGCACGGCTCCCCCTCCTCCCAGGCTAAAGGTAAGAAGGGAGGGGGGGGGGACGATATAACTTTTTTTTTTTTTAAATAAAATTTTAAAAAAACATATATATTTGTGATGTTTTGTACAAATCAGCCAATAATTCCTGTATAATGAAGTAGTCACTTTATTAATACATATATAACAGCATCTTCATATTGCAGCCTTGTTACACAGGGTTTCTGCAGCCGCCATTTCAATTCCCTCGAACATTCCACCAACTGCCAACAGGAACAGGAAGTAAAGACCCAAAAGAAAGGAATTGCATCATTCACAGCCAAACAGCCCAACTGCACATACATCACAATACATACACTCATACACAGCCTGTTACAGACTGACATTTGTATCTGTTATTTTATTTGACAAATTGCCCTGCTTCCCTGTGTTATGGAGAAGCCTAATTGCCAGCCTTCTGCCCCATGACTATGGACCTAGTGGGTATGGCGATTTGACTGTATTTGTGGGATCTGAGCGCTGTTCGGATATATTGAGCGCTCAGATCCAAGCCATCTGGGGATAGGTTGAATGTGGGGGTTCTGTTCAGTATGATAGGAGTTAGGTATTTATGTGTCTCTTTTTGTGTCTTTTGCTAACATGTGGTTAATGGAGTCTGCCTCTATCCCTGGATAATTGGATTATTTTCCCCATTGTCTCCTGGATAGAGGACACTGTAAAACCGGTTTGGGCCAGATAACTATGCTGCCAGCCAGGCCCCAAAAGATACTTTTGCTAACTTTTGAACCCCTTGTCTGATTTGTGCCATTTTTTAATATGTTGCTCCCCTGAATGTATTTATTCTAAATATGTAATTTGTATGAAGATTGGATGTATGGTTTTAAA